AGAAGAGAAGAGAAGAGAAGAGAAGAGAAGAGAAGAGAAGAGAAGAGGAATGTGGTCTTGGCAAAAAATGGGTTAATTTTTAAAAAGTATCTATGGGCAGTTTCAGTCAAGCACAGCTGGGAAATATTAAATCTGGAATCGTCAGGTTGTCTGTTTAATTTCTAGCCTGGTCATAGAATCAAATCTGAAGAAGTTTCTTCAGGGGTTCTGAAGAAGCTTCTTGGATGAGAACTGAAACATCTTCAAGGAAAAACAAAATCCAGTTGCCTTTGAAAAAGCATCTTTGGCACAACCATAATCTGGATGGTTGAGAACCTCCATAGACACTTGTCATAGTATGATGACTTTTGTGGATATTGTGGAAAATCAATTATTAGCCTTTAGCTGATATTACCCCACACTGACAACTGACAACACTCTTTTGGTAGAGGAAGACCAAGCATTGTGGGGGATATTTTATAGCAGTGGGACAACCCACTTCTTTCCTTCTGTGCCTTTAAATTACAAATCAGAAGACATTAATAGCTTGGTTATTTATTTCATGGTGAGCAGTTCCAGGATAGCAATAGCAATAGCACAGACTTATATACCACTTTACAGTGTTTTACAACCCTCTCTAAGCAGTTTACAGAGTCAGCATATATTGCCCCCAGCAATCTGGGTCCTCATTTTACCCACCTCGAAAGGATGGAAGGCTGAGTCAACCTTGAGCCTGGTGAGATTTGAACTGCCAAATTGCAGTCAGCCAGCAGTCAGCAGAAGTGCAGTACTGCACTCTAATGACTGCAAATGAATGAACCTGTCCACACCTCCTCTAGTCTTTTTCAAATGTTCATATTCTTTTACCTTCTGGTTTGTGTGCTCTCTCTGGACACCCCATTAAAATAAGAGAGGTAGGGAAGGAGAAAGAAGATGTTATCAGAAGAGACTGATAACAATATAGCAATCCATGAAAGGTCAGAACTTCACCTGAATCTTTAAAAAAATGGGGTGGTATAAGCACAGCTTTACGAAGTTTTCCAAGTGCTCTTCCGTAACTGGGATAATAGCATTCTCCACAGAGCCCTTAGAGAAAATCAGCTCATGTAACTGGGCAAAAAATTCACTGTCAGTTAAATACCTCACACCTGTAAGTAGGGGAAAATGCACAATTTTAAAAGCTAATATAAGACAAACACAACATTGCTACCCCATTTGAACAGGAATTGCAGGCATAGATTTATTCAAAAAAAACAACCCATATATCATTTATTCTCATAATTAGATTTCAATTATTATATCTACAACTGGTACAAGTGGAATAACTGGTAGGTAAAAGATTGGATAGGAAAAATGGTGGTAACCCAGCATAAACCTTAACATTCATGGCAGGCAAACCTTGTATGAAGAGTACAACCACCACCCAAACATCCAGTTGATCATCACTTAACAGAATAATAGTTGGCAGGGTCCTTAGAGATCTTCTAGTCTAATCCCTGCTCAAGCAGGAGATCCTATACCATTATGGAGAAATGGCTGTCCAATCTCTTCCTCAAAATCTCCAGTGATGCACAAGCACAACTTCTGATGGCAAGCCATTCCACTGATTAATTGTTCTCACTGTCAGGAAATTTCTTCTTAGTTTTAGGTTGGATCTCTCTTGTCCCCCTTTTCTCCTTTCTTTCTCTTCGCTAAATTAGACATGCCAAGTTCCTGCAACCATTTATCATTTGTTTTAACAGCCAGTCCTCTAATCATCTTTGTTGCTGTTCTGTGCACTTTTTCTAGAGTCTCAATATTCTTTTTTTATATTGCAGTGACCAAAATTGGATGCAATATTCCAAATGTGGTCTTACTAACTTACTTCTACTTACTCCCCTGAAATGCATGAAGAATTATTGCATCTGATGAGAGAAACCATCTCCAAACAACCCATCAAGGTCTTATATCTAGCTCAAGGATCTTCAAATTTGGCAACTTGGGTACTTCAATTCTCAGAATTCCCCACAGCCAGCCTGAGATAGATTTTGGACCAAGCATCCTGCCTTTTCCTTCACAGTTTACTTACTTGATATACTTACCAGCTGGGCAGAAGAGGGCTAAAGAGGAGATGTGGGCTGGATAGAGAGCAGCATAAACCCCAGCAACCATGCCTCCCATGGACATGCCAACTAGGTGGAAGGGCTTATGGTTCAGGCCAGCACACTGGACAAACTGAAACAAACATTTGGAACAACGAGATTGAGGTTGTTCTTTCATGAGATGCTCACCCATCCTAATCCCTTCTTTCTGGAGCTACAGTAATTCAAATGTTTGGCTTTCCACAATATTCCAGGTGGCAACATCTAACTAATAGTGCTCCATCTTGGAAAGCTAAGCAGGGTTTGATACCTAGGAATATTTGACTGAAACTGAACTAAGAGCGAAAACATTAAAACAAAAATTTATAAAAGGAGGCAAAGTATTTTCTTTAATCTCCAAGAAATCAAATGGACACGTCCATGAAGTCATCAGAAGTCATGTTTGACTGAAAGGAGATTCTACATTTTTAATACAAAGAATAGACTGCTTTATATATTTTTCATTGCACAGTAAAGTCCCTTCTTGGTTTATATCTAGTGTCTCATCCCTCCTCACTTTTCCCATTTGTTGTCACTCACCAGCCTTCAAAGAACAATGATCACTGCTCAAGAAAAGCCCTACCTGGTGTACCCTTTTAGCTTGAGCAACTGCTGTGTAACTTTCTCCAAGCAAGCAAGTGGTTCCCCCGTGACCTGGCAAATCAAGGCAGACCAAATGGAGGTCCTTAGGAAAGACCTATTATGGAACAACAGAAATAAGGATAGCTTATTCATATAGCTATGAATATGTGTATAGTACAGCTATGTATATAGGTGTAGTAGTGTAGTAACATAGGAAAACAAACAATGTATCACAATGTATTAATAACATAGATAAGGAAGAAATCAGGAATTAGACTTAAGATATCTTTGTAGTAAATGATCTTAATTAACACTAATAGAGATGTACACTGTACACATGTACATGAAAACACTGTAAAATATGAGAACATTAGAATTAGAATTAGAAGAACTTTATTGTCATTGTACAACGAAACTGTGGATGCACCACAGCAACTGTTCGCAATACAATAAAATCAAAGCACTTAAAAATGAAGATAAGAAAAATAGAGTATCCACGTCTCCATTTGCAATTTGAGAGTACAATATCTATGAATATACACAAAATATACATCCAACATTGACTGTAACGCTTAGCCGAGTATAATACACAAGAGATGGATTGTACTGTAATATGTTATTATACATCTGAATGGGGTATTGAGATTTCACATCTTTTCACGTCTTAGTAAGGTAGTGACTTCGTGTTTATTTGCGGTTTGGATGGCCCAGGGAAAGAAACTATTTGTTAGTCTAGTGGTGTGGGATTTTATTGACCTAAAACGCTGTCCAGACAGCAACAGGTCAAAAAGATAATTGCCAGGGTGTGAGGGGTCTTCTATAATGGCCTTGATTCTGCTTTAGCAGTGGGACCTGGCTAAGTCTTCCAGGGAGAGCAGAGGTCAACCAATGATCTTTTGAGCTGTATTTATCACCCTCTGTACAGTTTTCCTGTCCTCAACTGTGGAGCCTGCATACCACACACCCAGACAATATGTCAGAGTGCTCTCCAAAGAGGCTTTATAGAAAGCCAGCAACAGCTTCTTATCCAGATTGTTCTTCCTGAGAACCCACAGGAAGTGCAGCCGCTGCTGAGCCTTCTTCCCTACGGCCTTGGGATTAGGGGACCAGGAGATATCAGCTGAAATATGGATGCCAAGGAATCTGATCGTAGGGACAGTTTTCACTCATTCGCCCCATGAGTGGGGCATGGCCTGTCCATGTTTCATGATTCTCTTTTTAAAATATTTTTTCTTGAATAAAAACTATTAAAAGAAAAGAAAAGACCTATGGGGAAATGGTCCTGCATGTGAATCCACCATATTTTCCTCTTCTTCCACTGATATCACCAAATGATATGTTTGGAAAACTGAGCATGTTCACACCTCACTGATTTATTTCAGAAGATGGTTATCTTTATCTCTCTCTCTCTCTCTCATCTCTCTCTGTCATCTATCACCTCTCTCATCTCTCATCTAACTATCTCTATCTATCTATCTATCTATCTATCTATCTATCTATCTCTATCTAGCATCTCTCTCATCTCTCATCTAGCTTTATCTCTCTCTCTCTCTCTGTCTCTGTATGTATGTATGTATATATATATATATGTGGGTGTGGGTGTGGGTGTGGGTGTGTGGGTGTGCGTGTGGGTGTTTTCTGAGGTTCTTGCGGGTATTTGTATGTGGATCTTTGGTTATTCGGATTTTCTCCCGCGTAAAATTGGAAGTATCTAGGCAACATTTCGATGAAGTCTCATTCATCATCTTCAGGCTTGTGTCTTCAGCTTTGTGCTTCTCAGAGTAATGTGAGCTTGCAGCTGCTTCTTCCTTTTAACTGCTAGTGGGGGTGTGACTTGATTGGGTGGGGGCTTGGCTGTGTTCTGATTGGGTGGGGGTGTGTTCTCATTGGTTGGGGGTTTGGCTGTGTTCTGATTGGTTGGGGGGTTGGCTGTGTTCTGATTGGTTGGGGGTGTGTTCTGTTCAGGTGGGGGCTTGGTTGTGCTCAGGTTAGTCTTAGTTTCTGGGGGATTTGAGCTGGTGAGCTGTGATCCTGCTGTTTGGCTTCGCGTTCGTGATCATGCTGCATCTTCATGGTGGTGTCAGTTCGCTTCATGTATGAGTCAAAGGGGTTTGAAGTGGGTAGTGATGCAGCTGCGGTATGGCTTCTGGTCCATGGTCATGTCTCATCTTCTGTGTGGGTGTGAGTCTGCTTTCTACGTGGAAGTGTGGTGGTAGCATCTTGTGTGGCCCTCATGCATGTGGGTCTGGTGTCATTCTTCATGTTAGGTACTCATTTGTTCATGAGGGCGGGTTTTCAAATGGCTGGTAGGCGGGTGGTATCATCTTGTTTATTCATGCTGTGTGGGCGTTTTTCTATCTCTATGGCTTTTCTGATTATTCTGTTGTTGAAGTGTTTGGTTTTGGCGATAGTTCTGGTATTTTTAAAGTCAATCTCATGTGCTGTGGCTTTGAGGTGTTGGACCAGGGAAGAGGTTGGTTCTTCTTTTTTGATTGAGTTCTTGTGTTCTTCAATGCATGCACTTATTCTTCTGTTAGTTTGTCCGATGTATGTGGTGGGGCAGGCGGTGCAAGGGATTTCGTATACTCCTTGGTTTTCTAACTTGATTTTGTCTTTAGGGTTTCTTATGATGGTGGATATTTATATATATATATATAATCTCTCCATCATCTCTCATTTATATCTATCTATCTATCTATCTATCTATCTATCTATCTATCTATCTATCTATCATCTATCTATCTATCTATCTATCTATCTATCTATCTCTCATCTCTCTCATCTATATCTCTGTCTGTCTGTCTGTCTTTCTGTCTATCTATCATCCATCTATCTATTTATATTTTTTACTTCTTAACTGCCTCTTTACTCAGCATTTGCATTTTGGTATTTACCCTCATGCCAACTGTTCCACCGGGACATGTTCGGATGCATGGCCTGCCTACTGACTTTTTAAAAAGGCATTAATTAATAGCCCAAAGATCAGCAAATTGCACAAGAGGGTAATTTCATAAAATTTCAGGAAAGAATGCATATGATTACATGAAATTTCCACAACTGTCTTTTCAATATTACTTTATTAGAGTGGGAAATGCACAATGGTACTCAAATATTTTATAAAATTGCTATATCCTGTTGTGACCAGTCAATTTCTCATTGCAGCTGTTTGGCAAGGAATAAGTGATCCGTACCATCAGGAGGGTCAAAACCACTTTCCTAAATGGCTGGCATATAAATTAAGAAAAGAAAATCAGAAAAGAATGATATACCAATTACAGGATAAAAATGGAATAATAGAGACAGATCAGGAGAAAAAAAAGGAAATTGTAAGAGAGTACTTCAAAGATCTTTACAAACAAGAAGCAGTTGACAAATAAAATAGAAGAATATTTGAAAGAAGGAACTCTCTATCCAATATCAGAGGACAAAAAAGAGATGTTGAATAAAGAAATAACTTTAGACAAGCTAAAGGTGGCGATTCAAAAACAAAAAAGAAATAAAATGCCAAGCCCAGATGGGTTACCAAATGAGCTATACAAAGAAATAGGTGATATATTAGAGATAATGTTATTAGAGGTTTGCAATGGGGTATTACTGGATGCTAAAATACCAGAATCTTGGAAGAAAGCATACATAACATTGATTCCGAAAGAGGGCACAGATGCCAATCAAACAAAGAATTACAGACCAATATCCCTTTTAAACTCGGATTACAAAATTTTTATGGCGGTAATGGCGGAAAGATTAAAGAAAATACTCAGTAATAAAATTCACCCGAATCAAAATGGATTTCTTCCCACAAGGCAGATCAGATATAACACAAGAACAATAATAGATATAGTGGAATATTATGAAAAGTATCCAGGAAGCCAAATGGCTTTGGTCTTCCTGGATGCACAAAAGGCCTTTGATAACTTAAATTGGGACTTTATGAAAAAGCAGATTAATTTGATAGATTTTGGAGATAATTTCGTAAAAATGTTGAATGCAATCTATGTCACAGAAAAGGCCAATGTATTATTAAACGGAGAAATTACCAAATCATTGGAGATAAGGAAGGGGGTCACACAGGGATGTCCGCTTTCACCTCTGCTTTTTATAACTATTTTGGAAACTTTGCTAGATAGAATTAGATTAAATAAGGAAATTAAAGGAATTAAAATTAAAAATCAAGAATATAAATTACAAGCCCTCACAGATGATATGGTCTTTGTCATAGAAGATCCAATAGGCTCAGGACCAGCTCTACTAAATGAAATAGATAAATTCAGGAAATTAGCAGGATTAAAAATCAATAAGGAAAAAACCAAAATGTTTGGTTTAGTTTTGGTTTAGTTTTTTTTGGTTTAGTTTTGTTTACTATTTGTTATGTTTAAAAACATAACAAATAGTAAACAAAAAAAATTGGAAGAAAAGACGGGATTACAAATTGTAAATAAAATTAAATATTTAGGAATCTGGTTAAGAGCTGGAACATTAAATCTGCAAGAGGATAATTATACTTAATTACTGAAACAGATTGAAAAGGACTTGGAAAATTGAAATACGATGCAAATTTCATTATTAGGTAGAATAGCAACAATCAAAATGAATGTTCTTCCTAAAATATTATATTTATTTCAAACAATTCTGATATTACTGGACAAAACATTCTTTAAAGATGTAGATAAAATTCTGATGAAATTTATCTGGGCAAAGGAGAAAACAAGGATTAAAAAAAACTTATTTACAAGATAATAAAAGTAGGTGTGGATTCGGACTACCTGTCTGGGAGACATACTATTGAGCAGCGGCATTAGTGTGGATAAAAGATTGGATTGATTTAAGGAATAACAGGATTTTACAATTGGAGGAACATGATTTACAGCTAGGCTGGCATGCATTTCTATGGAACCTGAATAGTAAAAACTATTTATATTTTACTAGATATGTATTCCAAAAGTCTTTAATTAAAGTTTCGCTTAATATAAGAAAGAATCATTATACTAAAATCCCAAAGTGGTTCTCAACGATGGAGGCAATGTTTCATTTAAACACAATGGACCATCAATAAAAAACTGAAATACTATCAAATATTAGATAGCAAGGGAAGAATTAAAACGAAACAGGAACTAGAATCACAAGAGATAGATATTGATAATTGGTCATATTTTCAAATAAAATTGAGATACAATAAAGACGTAAAGAAATATGGAATTGAGGTAAAAGATACATATTTGGATAAAATACTTTTAAACCCTGAGAAAAGTTCAATTTCCAAATTATATAATTATTTATTAGAATATGAAATGGCTGAGAAAATTGTGAAAGTTCCCATGTTGGCTTGGGAAAAAAACTTTGGTTATAGTATTGATCTGGATGACTGGGAAGAAATCTGGCAGAAAAACCTGACACTAACCAAATCAGTAGCGCACAAGGAGAATTTATACAAAATGATGTACGGATGGCATCTGGTGTTCTCTAGATTGGCCAAAATATTTCTGACAGCCAATCCTTGCTGTCGGAAATATAAAGGGAAATTTAGTATAGTTTCATTCATGGTGGAGTTGTCCTGAGATAAAGAAATATTGGGTAAAAATAAGAACGTGGATAGAAGAAATTATAGAGAGTGGGCTGGAGTGGAAACCGGAATAATTTTTGTTGGGAATGATCGAAGGGGACTACTCCGCTAAAGTAAAATATCTGACCATCCATTTATTAACTGCAGCACGAATCTCACTAGCACAATATTGGAAAAACCCAAATGTATCACCGATACAAGTTGTTATTCAGAAAACATATGAGTGTGCCCAACTGGAGCAGCTTACTCTTAAAATTAATGGGAAGGAGGATACAGATTATTACTGGATATGGGATAAATGGCATAAGTGGGTAGACAATAAAAGGGGAAACATGTAAATGAACCTAAGATACAAATTATCCAGCAGTTTATAATATATTAAGTACATAAAAACAATTAAAGGTTTTAAACCTTCTTTTCTCTGTTACTACTATTATTAGTATTAGCCATTTATAATATTTTGTGTGTTTATTAATTAAAAACATGAATGTATTCATAATAGAAGAGCAGTTATAATGCCAACGTGAAAATAAATGGAGTATATTGTGAATTATTTAGTGCTTAGGATGTGATAATGTGTGAATATGTGACTAGTACTAGCCAATAATGATTTTTAGGATTTACCAAATTTGACAACAAATGTAAAAAATTATGTGTTATTATAGTTTCTGTATTTTAGAAATTGTACGTTTTTAAATTTGTAAATAAAAAATTTTAAAACTTAAAAAAAACCCACTTTCCTAAGTTAAATTTCCTATTCTGCTTTATCCATAATGGCAGATAGCTAGTTCTCATCTACTTCCAAGAAGATAAAGAATCAGAAAAAATGGACAGAACCTTAGATGTGTTAGTAAAGGCCATACAAGCCAGGAACTCTGGAGAAGTTTTCTCTCTGACTTCTAGTACCCATGATAAGACCAGCGTCATCCAAGCTAGAATAAAATGAAGACCTACTTCGATGGTATTTAACCACATGTCTTTGTTGAGTGAGAATCCATGAAGCATCAGCACAGATGGTCGGGATCCGGGTTCCCCTCGGGTGAAGTAGCTGAATTGGTATCCTTCATTATAGAGGTATTTCACCTTCACACCCATTTTCAGACGCTTAGTCCTGAAAATATGGAGAACAGAATGGGAGAGTGATGGGGAGTTTGTGAAGGAGCCATATCGTGGAATGACTTCCATTCCAAGCTTAGTTCACAGTAGATGGAAGAGGTTGTGAAAGCTGCTGAAGGCTTCTAGAATGGTGTGAAGTTGTGGATGAGGACTGTGGAGAGGTGGCAATGACAAGACCAAGAAAGCAGTCCAACATAAGCAAGAGGAGTGGCCAGTGAGAAAGCTATTAGTGTGAGACAGGGGTGTCAAACTCAAGGCCTGTGGGCTATATCCAGCCTGTGGGGTGCTTAGATCGGGCCCACACGGCTGGCCTGGAAAAAGCAAAGGACCATCCTGAAGTGCCTTTGCCAATGAAAATGGAGCTGGGGGGGTTGCATGCACCCCCCAGCTCCATTTTTGCTAGCAGAGGGTTGCAGGATGCGTCACAGCTGACAAAGGGGTGGGGTGGGGCCTGCGTGCGGCCTTCTCGGGCTCCGTTTTCTCCAGCAGAGGGCTATCAAAGCAAACTAAAAACAAAACAAAAGGAGAAATGTTTCCCCTTTTGTATTTGAGCATGCAAGAAGGGACAGGAAAGGAGAAAGGGAAAGAGGAAAAACAAAGAAAAAGAAGGAAAGATGGGAAGAAAGCAAGGAAGGAAAAATAAGGAAGGAGGGGAAGGAAGAAGAGAATGAAGAGGGAAGGAAAAAGAAGAAAAGGAAGGAAGGAGATTATAATGAGAGTGCGGAAGGGTCTCAGGGAAGTCCTGCCTTAGCACTTGGCCACTATGGGTGCCTCTGACATGAGTCCTATGTTATGCCCAGGGGTGGGATGCAAATATTTTTACTACCGGTTCTGTAGGCATGGCTAGGTGGGAGTGGCTAGGTGGGATTGGCTTTTTTTGCATGCACACACCCCGAGCTCCATTTTTTTGGCCTCCTGGGCCTCGGGGAAGCCTCCTGGGGGGGACGAAGCAGTAAGACAGAGAAGGGGATCCTGGCTTCCCTGAAGGCCAGGGGGGGCAAAAAACGAGGCATGAGGGGGGGGTGCTTCCCTGGGTGGGGAGGGGAGGGGCTGGCAGAGAGGGGTGGGGCCAACCAGGGGCACGATTTGCCAGTTCTCCAAACTGTGCAAAATCATAACAACCAGTTCTATAGAACCGGTCTGAAGCGGTAGAATCACAGCCTTGGTGACGCGCACTGTGGCCATGCCCACCATGGCCATGCCCATCCAGGCCACACCCACCCGCGGCCCTCCGAGGTCAAACACAACCATGATGCGGCCCTCAATGAAATTGAATTTGACATCCCTGGTGTAAGAAAATTGGGGAAATTCTACCATTTAGTCATATTCTGATCTTATTTCCAGATCAGCCTCCAGATTAAGAAGCTTCATACAGGTGTTATACAGTTGTTTAAATAAGTAAATGGGGAAGATTGGCTATAGTAGGGAACCTGCAACCAGCGACCCTACATGACGAAACTGTTCTGAAACTTTTGAAGTATTGTTCTTTTCTCCAGATGTTCTTGGAGTTTTAAGACAAGATGCAACTACTTGTCCGAGTTTTATCTCTCCTCAAATGTTGACTTAAATAATGGGGCCAAAGCTAGAATTTATTAGCATTTGACTAAGCACCCCTGATTTTTTTTAAAAAACCCTTTCTTCTAATATCTGAATATGTATTTTCTCTTTCTCATATATTTTACAAGAAGTACACTTACCAGATCATGATCCTGAATAATAGTGAAGGTAACACACTGAACTTTGAGATGAAAAAAGATAAGAGAGCCATAGCCGTATGCATAATTGTCCTGATCATATTGTGATCCATGCTGGCCAATTAAGGAACCTTTCCTCCTGCATAAAATCAAAGGGTGAGACAATCTTAATAAATAATACCATTAAATTATGTGTGGCATTATAATTTTAATAGAACTGGTTAGTTAATGACTCAGGTAAACAACAGATTTCTTCATTATTTTGCTTAATGATGGCATGAGGGAGATTATTGCTTCATGGTTAATTATGGAAATTCATGAAGGGTTAGCAGACAATCATGATGGTGATATGCTATCTTCAAGTCAGAAGCAATATGTATCTTGATGCTGTTTGCAGAGGAGCAGTAGGAGGATTCAATTGATGATAGGTTGATAGAAGAAACAGTGATTATTATGATTTAAGAGAAAAAAATCCTAATTATAAACTTTTTCGTACTTGGTTACTGTGGACATAATGCTAGACTAGATACAAAGCTTTGGATTTGAACTATTAAATCCCCTTTGAGTAACAGGAATTACTTTCTTGCAAAGAGACAAGTAATCTGTAGAATTTGCAGCCACAAAACATACAACGGGTAACTTTGGGGGAAAAAAATCAAATATATTTATGGGAAATAGGAGTGTTAAAAACTTCTCTGGCAACAGAACTTATGGATTATTTAAAACCCTAGAGACACTGTAGCTTTTAATAAAGGCTTCTGGAAACAAGCTGGTATCTGGTTAGGTTTGAAACAGAATGTTGAATTAGATAGCCCTTCGGACAGATTCCATAAGGTTCTTCTTATGCTCTTCTGACCATAAGGTACATCATCTTCAAGTTACTTGAACAGAAATTAGTTATAAATTGTGTTAATTGAAAATATCAAAAGGTGGAAAGCAATAATATTCTCAAGGGATGCCCCATGGCTACTGTGGTATCTCCTTCAAGTCTCTCCCCTCTCTGTGTGCATATGTGTGTGACATGTTCTATACAATTGGACAATGATAGAGTCTCTGTTTTCTTAACTTTAGTAATAAAATTACATTGTTTTAACTCTGTTCCCCCACACATGTATAATTTAATATAATGATAATAAACATATACTTAAACATCTTAAGCAATTTTAAATTACATAATTGCTTTAATAAAAGCTGACTAGATAGCAATCATCCAGATGTTTATATGGAAATAAGACCTGTTCTACATAGTGGAATAAATATTGATTGTATTATACAGTTGGAAAGAGTATTTGTGTGTGCATTCAAAACTAGATAACCTGATGTAATCAGGGGTGGGATTCAAATTTTTTAACAACCGGTTCTGTGGGCATGGCTTAGTTGGTGGGCGTGGCTTGTTGGTCATGTGACTGGGTGGATGTGGCTTGGTGGTCATGTTATTGGCTGGGTGTGGCCAACTCAATATCACTCACATCGAGGCACGCATCTCCTGGCCTGGCCTCTCATGACTGTGGGGATGCTGCAACAGTCATAAGTGTGAAAAATGGTCATAAGTCACTTTTTTCAGTGCCATTGTAACTTTGAATGGTCACTCCACACAAGCAAAGTATCAGCAAAGGAGGGGAAAAAAACTCCAGAGACATTCCTGAGACAGGAAGTCTAGTCCTGCCAAGAATGCAATAAGGGTTAATGGAGAGGCAGTTTCTGTAGGCAACACCAGAATGTTTCCTTCCTGCCTTCCTTACAGGATTAGGCCAGTAATTTCTTCTAACAACCAGTTCTACGAACTGCTTAGAATGTTAACAACCGGTTCTAGCAAATAGGTACAAACTGGTAGAATCCCACCCCTGGATGTGACTATAACTAAGCGGGCATGGGGGAGGTTGCTCAATAGTCACAACAGGAAATTGTTAGCAAGACAGGATTTGGAGCTCCATTTAAATGATGGAATCTAAGCTACTTCTATAAAGGAGAATATTTGTATTTCAGGGTTGACATGAGGGGTCCTTGGTGCCCTCTGAGCTTGGCTGTTTTCTTGTCAATGTTTCATTACCCAAACTAGATAACATTATCAGTGTTAGCCAGGACTAGCACTGATGTTGTTACCTAGTTTGGGTAATAAAACGTCTGCAAGAAAACAACCAAGTTCAGAGAGCATCAAGGACCCCTTACTTCTATTTCAATACTGTCCACGGTTTTAAAAGGTTAACATTCTATAATATGTTAATAATTGCTATTGAAGAAGGAATTTCAGCTGGCGTAAATTGCAGAAGTCTATCCAAAAAAGGCAGGTCTTTCTGCAGCAATCCCTTTGAAGCTGCCCTCATTTTCAGAGGGATGTTCTGATATAAAATAATATTTGTAGCTCAGGGTTGAACTGTGGGGTCCTTGGTGCTGTCTGAACTTGTTTGTTTTTGTGCAACTGTTTCATTACCCAACTAGGCAACATCATCAGTGTCAGGACAATGTTACCACTGATTGTCAGGTGAACTGACGGGAGCCATTTTGAAGTTTCAGTGTAGCCTCACTGGAACTGAGGCATAGGAAGGGGGGAATAGAGATAGCTGGGGTTTTGTAGCCAAAACAAAATACTTTATCCTGGGAACCAAGGACATTCTCACACATGGTCAGAGAGAGGAAGAGTGACATAACTAGGTAACTGGATGGCACCCTGATTGTACCATGTGACCGATTGTTTAGGGAAGGGGGAAAACTTTTACTTTTAATTAGGTGAAAATTGCAGGAAACTTCAGAGTTGGTTTTTACCAGAACTGTGCCAATATGATATATCCAATAAAACTATTTTTTGAGGAATCCAATGGCCTTGGAGTTTTGTTTGCTATGGGGTTATGACTTGGAACCCTGACACTGAGGATGTTACCTTGTTGGGTAACGAAATGCCTGCAAGAAAACAAACAAGCTCAGACAGAAACCAAGGACCCCAGAGTGGGAAGTTCTCTTCAAATATGCAGGATTTCACTGGGATAAAACGGAACCCAAACCAAACTGGTGGGCTGAGCTGAGCATGCTACTAGCTTTCATCTCTGTCAAAAGGCACTGTCCATTTTCTTCTCTCGTGAGAATTTGTGAATATATTTCAGGGACAATGACTCTGTCCCTGACAATGACTAGAGTAATTCCAGGAACTGCGCTTCAGAATCATAGTAAAGGAGCAAAGTAACTGTTAAGCTGGATACTGCTCACAGACAGACTCCACTGATGGCTGAAATTTCAAGAATGGTGCTTTAAAGTGGTTATCTCGAGTATATCACATTTAAAAAGGATCTCCTTAGTGATCCTCAACACTATATTCTTGGCATTCCTTTCCCTCCTGATCCTCTGAAATTCAATTTCTTAAATTGAGATTACTGCTCCTGGATGTGCTAACAAATTAAAGGAATTATTATTGACTTAGTGTTGACAATGGTCATTTTAAACGATTGGAAGGTGTTACCAGATCTTAAGTGGAAACTAAAAGAGGCAATAATATTCAGTCACACGGTTTTGGACAACTCCCAGGAAAATGTAAAATACTTTCATTGCATCACTGTGTGCCAATGTTGTAACCCAACCTGCTTGAAGGAGGCTTTTCGGAAACAACTATTTATTTCATAATTGCCTATGATATAATATGCTTGTAAGGCTATGACCCTGTAATTACTTTCCTGAGAATAAGCCTTATTGAACATCATAGGACTTGCTTATCATGAGAATTTACAGGACTGTACTATATAGATCCATGACCTTTCCCTTTCCAATGACATGTTAAGTTTTATTCTTGAAGAGGTTGTATTCTTTAAATTTTATCAGTCATTGGTGAAACCTTTACATCCACTGAAAACAGAACACACAGTATATAAGCTTCACCCCTTTGGTCCAGAGGTGCTATTCAGCAGGTTCCTTCCCCTGCCACACCAACCAAGCCACGCCCACCAAGCCACACCACACCCACAGAACCAGTAAAAAAAAATTTAATCCCACCACTTCTTTGGTCCTTGGGACAGGATCCAGGTACCACAGACCGATTTAGATACTGTCTTCCAAATTTGCAAGTCCTCCAAAATTGGAGGTAAAAATTCAGTATAGCTTGTCCTTGACTTATAACCATTCATTTAGTGACCATTTGAGTTACAATGGCCCTGAGAAAAGTGATTTATGACCGTTTTTCACACTTATGACCATTGCAGCATCCCATGGCCAAATGATCAAAATTCAGAGAGTTAGCAACTGGCATGTATTTCTGACAGTTGCAGTGTGACGTGATCACCATCTGACAAGAAAAGTCCATGGGGAAGCCAGATTCACTTGACAACCATGTTATTAACTTAACAACTGTAGTGATTCTTATATAACAGATAATCAGATTTGGAAGAGACCTTGTAGGTCATCTAGTCCAACCCCTTCCCCAAGCAGGAGACCCTACACTATTTGTGACAAATGGCAGTCCAATCTCTTCTTGAAAGTCTCAAGTGATGGCGCTCCCACAACTTCCGAGGGCAAGCTGTTCTGTTGGTTGATTGCTTCTCACTGTCAGAAAGTTTCTCCTTATTTCCAGGTTAAATCTCTCCTTGTTCAGTTTCCATCCATTATTCCTTGTCTGGCCTACAGGTGCTTTGACCCCCTCCTCCCTGTGGCAGCCCCTAAAATACTGGAAGACTGCTACCAGGTCTTCCCTGGTCCTTCTCTTTACTAGACTAGCCAAGCCCAGTTCCTGTAACCGTTCAATTAACAACCATAGAAAGAAAGGTAGTAAAATGTGCAAAACTCACTTAACAACTGTCTTGCTTAGCAATGGAAATTTTGGGCTCAATTGGGGTCATAAGTTGAAGACTACCTGTAGTTCTTTGGGCCTTATCTTGGTGGAAACATCAACGCTATGCTTCCTTCTCTTGGGTTTACTTCTCGAGTTGAAGTAGAAAATGGGAAGTTCGGACATTATGAAGCAAATTGTAGAAAACTTTGGATCCAAATATTTCCAAGATCTCCACCTTAACCCCCCAGCTAGAGAGAAAGTAGCCCATAGATTAGTTTCTAACATTTCATTATACCATTTGAAATAGGGAGGATTAAAACATATAAAAGGGGAGGGAGAGATGCAAATTTAGTCTTTCTAATTTTCAGCGTTTTGCATTACATTTTTTTTTACTTTTTATTATTCTGTAAACCACCTAGACTGGCTGCAACAGTGAGATAGGTGGCCAAATTTAATAAATAAAATAAAATTCTCTCCACCCTAGTTTCCATGAGACAGACACATTCATGAACTAGTTGAAAAAAATTCAGTCTTACCTGAGAAAAAAAATATCATCAAGACTCTTCTCTTCCTTTTTATTTCTCCTGCGGTTGTAGATTCTCCTGCGGTTGTGGACTATTTTGAAGCAGGGTTGAGGTGTCTTTAAAAACCCAGTTGGGATATGTGGAGGAGTAAGAGTAATTAATTCTTCCTCCCACTCCTAAAAGTCTTTAGAAACTGAAGTGTTCCAGAGCCTGCTTGGCCTCATATTCCTGTATCTTCCACCAAAAGATGAAAGATTCTCTGATGTAATCATAAGGGCCAAAAACTATTGCATCCTTCCATCCATTCCTTGTGTGTCTAAATCAAATAAGCATCATGTTTCATTTCACTGAACACCTCCCATGTCTTGAAAGTACATGGGTCTTCAATGAATTGAGTGTCAATCTTCTGCTACTTCAAAGTGAAGACAATCCAAAGAAAGATCTAAGGATACAGCAATGAGAAACAATCTCCACCCTAAATGCAAAAAGTAATTTATTCGAAGAGCACCAACCCAACCAGTTAACTGGAATGTCTTCAGAGATAGCAATATTTTGATTAGAGGTTAGTATGAGATGAGCCACTGAAGAGCAAGATCAACTAATTTGGGTTATGATGTTAAATCTGCCATGAAATGAAACATCATGGGACCTGATACTAGTAAGGATATGCAAGTGAAATATGCAAGTGCTTTGAAGAAACAGGATAGAAAGAATGCTGATGCTTTTTAATTTTGTTGAAGAAGACTCCCGAGGATACCATGGACAAGCAAGAAAGCAAACAAATGGATCATTGAACAAATCAACTAGGAGTTCTCATTCCAAACACAATGATCAGGTTCAAATTATCATACTTTGGACACATTATATGAAAACCTTGCTCTCTACAGAAGTTCGAAAGTTGGGAAAAGTGGAAGAACAGAGAAGAGGACACTCAACAACCAGGTGGATGGGCCCAGTTACAATGCTGAAAGATGCACTATTGGAAGATCTGAAATCTTAGGTTGGAGACAAATCATCTAGAGAAAATCTCTATGCGTATCAGGTGTCGGGAACCAGAAGGACTCCGTGACCAGGTCAAAGTAGCTGCTTTATTGTTATTCTCCTTTATAAGAATCTCATCAGACTAACTAGGGGTGACATGATAGCAGTGTTCCAATATTTAAGGGGCTTCCAAAAAGAAAAGGGGAGTCAACCTATTTTCCAAAGCATCAGAAAGCAAGTCAAGAAACAATGGATGGAAATTAATCAAGGAGAGAAGCAACCTAGAATTAAGGAGAAATTTTCTAACAGTGAGAATAATTAACTAGTGGAACCGCTTGCCTTCAGAAGTTATGGGTGCTCCATCACTAGAGGCTTTTAAGAAGAGACTGGACGTCCACTTGTCTAAAATGCATAGGGTGTCCTGTTTGAGCAGAGGGTTGGACTATAAGACCTCCAAGGTCCCTTTCTAAGTCTGTTATTCTGTTAAAAAAACCTTTTTACTTTCCTCTCGACTCCACTCTAGATTCCATCACAGTGTGGATGCTAATGACTTGGCAGCACATATTCAATCCCTCTAGTAAGAGGATCCCAAGGAAATTGTAAGAAACTTACTGGCTGAGATCCAAGACTCAGAATTCTGCAGGTTATTGTCCTGGAAGGCATACGATATTTCTTCTGACTTCACCATTTACATTTCTTTCTCCTTGCTTTGGGATACGGTAAATACCTTCCCAACATTTGCTTTTGTCTGCAACCAAATAAGTTGGAATATTATCCATGAAACTTGTAGCACAATAATTAAAAAAAAAATTCAGATGGCACAAGATACATTTGTGCCAATGTGAGACAGATGTAGGATGCTTCCAATTTTTTTTTTAATTATGCTTATTCTGGAATTCAGATCGTATTTTGGATTGGAGGCACATTTTACAAACATTCCCACACCTTTATCTCACCTCATCTGTGGTAATTTACAGGGTAGGATCTATGAGTAATATGAAGTATTGCAGTATGAGATAGTTGATTTCTTAGAGCAAACATGTCAATTGGTAGAAACTTGTCTGGTTTTTTATCTACAATTGAATGGCACAATTCTGGCTTAGTTTTTTTTCTTTTTCTGGAAAAGAAAAGAACAGAAAAATAAGGAAAGGAGAATGGAATTCATTCAAAGTTTACTAAGTGCCTACTTTCCCAATATGCTGACATTTTGTATAATTTCAATCCAATTTCTAAGAACTAATAACAGACCTCTTTAAAAAGTACGTCACTCTGTTTTCATTATTTGACATGAACATTTCCTTTGCAAAGTATAATTTCTCCCTATACATGCTCTTTTACCAAATATAACTATTATTCTTTGCAGACTGGTCATCCTTAGTGAAGTGTGCAAACCAGCACCTGCATTTCCTACGTCAAACTCAGATGAGGAGATCACATCGTTCTCCTTCTGTCCTGGCCACTTTTTACAGAGGCACGATTGAGAGCGTTTTAACAAACTGCATCACTGTTTGGTTCGGGGGCAACAGTGCCTC